TATTTTTTTTGGGTTTGTCAAATACAAATGATGGTTGAGGTATCTGTAGTTAATAAAAAAAATAACATTATTCAAATGCAAATTAGCCTAATAAGAATAAAAGTAATTAACTTATATAAGTAGAATATACAATTAAAATTATTGATTTAGACGAACTAAAATCAGCATCTATAGTGATCAAAGTACGAACAGGGAAATTGTCACAATCAACCTTTAAAAAATATAAAAATATTAATTATAAATAGTACTCAAAACAATCCCAACTACACTATATAGTTATGTCGATTTAACCAACATACTTTTTTATCAGCACCCCCAACAATATTTGGTATGTCTCCCAGATTTGAATTCTCAAAAATTGAATGATCCTCGAAAAAAGGAGATTGAATAAAAACAATATTGGTAAATCATATAAAAATATAAAATTTATAATGCACATACTTGAAAAACTTTCTTGCTGCCATCATTTGAGCTTTCATCACACTTCGTATTCTCATCATCAATAAGTCCCTTCAATCCATGTAGATATTTGATACAAAAATAGTCAACATATAAATATAAAATAGTTATAATAAAATACAGTATAAACGACATATAAAATACAAATTAATATTAAACATAAACGTAGTAAGAAAAACAGAATACAAAATAATAATCTTTATTTTCAAAATGAGTTGTCTCTACCTTATTTTGATTTTATGATACAACTGGACTTGTAAAATGTTGTGGTCCTTGAGCAGCATTGTGATTGTTTATGTTGTTCTGAAAATATATTAGATACAAAAACAATCAACATATATTTAATCACTATGGGTAATGAAATAGAGTACCTACAAATATAGAAAAAATTAATATCAAACATAAATATAGTAAAGAATACAGAATACAAATCGAATAAACTATTATTTTCAAAATGAATTGTGCCTACCTGATTTTGATTTTTTGATAAAATTGAACTTGTAAACGATTGTGATCCTTGACCAGCAATGTCATTATTTTTGTTGTCCTGAAAATATTAAATTACAACAGTGTATTCACAAAAATAATGATATTAAAATTATCATTTATCAACTTTCGTGTGTCTTTGAACTCTTCTCTAACTTGAAACAGTTAAAATATGTTTAAATTTTACAGATTGCAATAATTTGAATAAACATATTGAAAAAACATAAGTATAAACAATATATACCTCCTTTGTAACTTGGAGAGTTCTTTTCTCATAAATTGTTCATGAGACACACTTGCAGATAGTTTTGAGAATCCTTTGTTGGCACATAAGTGCGAGTGGTTGTCTTCTTAGAACACAATTTATGTTTCTTCCGCACAACTTTCGGAAGTGCAACTTTTTTCACATTCTGTTTCGCTACTGGATCAATCTGTTCATTCTGTTTCATTTGATTAGCGATATTTGAGTTCTTTTTTCTTACCCTTTTGGCAGGTGATACTGATTGCCCCTTTTTTCTTTTATCTGTAACCTTCATTGAAGGTGGAGGTGGGTTGACAAAATCATCATCTAAATTCTATCAAGAAAGTGCTTGTTCATCAATATCATGACGTGGCTTTGTTTGAACACTTTCTTTTTATTTTTCAACACCTTCAGGAGGCAATTGTAGAATAACAATTTTTATCAGAGAAGGGACAACATTCTTCCATTTAATCTGAACACGATATTAAACACAATAATTAGCATAATAAAAGATATACATTGAATCATTACAATTACGAGGGTACAATTTCTTTAATTATACACAATACCTCTCTATTACCATCATTGAATGTGTCTTTCATCAATATTTTGAATCGGGGGTTGACTCCTACTGTTTGTCAATTTAGAATATGGGAAATACGATCACTGATTTTTTGTTCAAAATTTGTCTAACGCTTACCCATGCACTCGAATATCCATATTTAATGGACAACAAGCATACCACATATTCTATAATATTGACCATCAGTAGTCAAAACCTTGTTGATACTCTGTAGCAACCACTCAAATGCTTTTCTGCCCCAAGGATAATGCATATACCGATCACTTTCAATCAAGTCAAAGTGAATTCTAGGAATTCGCAATGATCTCTTCTTACCAGAATATACAAACATATGAATGAAATATAATATTGCAATCTTAATCACATCATCATTATTGTCAATCCAAACTTTATCATTGAATGTATCGATCAAATCTAATCTACGTATGATCTCATTACCACCAAAATTCTGAACAATAAGTGGATTTGGTTGTTCTGTGTAAACTTGAAATCCTCTACAACACCAACACATTTTAATCCAGTAATGAGCACAAACGTCCTAATTGTGAACTTTAAAATAGCTTCATTGACTTTGATTACAAGAGACTGCTTACTACTAGCTTCTACTTCTAGTGACATACAATACCTATGAATTTGACCTTGAGCAACACATTTTCTGATTTTCATATACTGACCAAAACACGTACTCTCACAAACTGTTTATATTGTTCCGGTGTAAGTTTCTCAGTCAACTGGGATTTAATGACATGATTTACTACACAGTGAATGTGGGGTGCAATTTTTGATAGTTTTTTGCAAGCATAAGAAGTCCCCTGGCATATTGAATTTAAAACAATGAAATATTACTAAAATAACACAACCAAAAAACATGATAATAAATAATACATCAATACAGTTACAACAACATACCTTAACGAACAAAAAAAATACCAAATAAAAAATATAAATGTGCACTTAATTTACTGAATACGTATCAATGTGAGAAATAAAAAACACACATGGTTACTAATATGTGGTACATTGACATAACTATCACACATACAAAAAAATAACAGAATACAAAATACATTAGATATATTTAATATAATATACATTTCCAAGTCTAGAGATACAAAAATACAATATACCTATGAAATATAAAAATACATACTGACTAAAACAGTATTAAAATTCAATATATACTTTCAAATTTATGAATACGAAAAACAATAAAACTATGAAATACAAAAATAAATACTAACTGTGGTACATTGACATAACTATCACAAAAAAATAGAATACAAAATGAATTAAATATATGAAATACAATTTTCAAATCTATGGATACAAAATACAATCAAACTATGAAATACAAAAATACATACTGACTAAAACAACAGCAAAATTCAATATACACTTCCAAATCTATGTATACAAAAAACATTCAAACTATGAAAATATGCACAATCAAACTCATAAAATGTTACATTGACATAACTAACACACACACACACACAAAAAAAAAAAACAGAACACAAAGTAAAATAAATATATGAAATACAAAAATAAATACTAACTATAACATAATAAAAATTTCATATACACTTCCAAACGCATTGTAACATGTATTTTTTTGAATCCTAAAAATTACTAAACAAATTAAACTAAACATGTAAGACACAGAACATACAAAAAAAAATACCTCTTCTCCAATAAATTGGTCTTTTTCAACTTCATGGTTATGAATCTATGTGAGATTTTGCACATCGACAGATTCAGACATTTTTTCCCGTCGTATATCCTCCTTAGATTTTGAAGTGGAACCTACATTGTGGTTTAATTCTTGAGTGAAAAAAAATAAGTGATGAAAAATCGAAAGAACTTTGATTATTTTGTCCAATACCTCTAGTAACTCTCTTGAAAACGTCCATTGAAAAGAGAATTATGCATTCACATACCCTAAAAAATGTTTTAAGAACAATAAAACATTTTTTTTTAAAAAAAACACTAAAATCAGTAAGTAAATAAATAAGAAATCTGAAAAACATAATACCCAAATCAATTTTAATCTTCAAATCAAATCTTGCAACGAAATTAAATGAAAATAATAGAAAATATTAAAATATTGAATAAAAAATCGGTGGAATTGATTTGAAAAAATGTTAGAGAGAGAAATTGAAAAGAAGTGTAAGAAAAAAGAAAGAAAAATCTGGGGATTTAATTAGGAAGAAAGTTAAAGAGAGATTGATAAGCTTAAGAAAAGAGAAAAAAATTAAAATGACATTAATATCTATCCAATTACATAAATAGAGAAAAATGTGTAATCTATGAGAGAGAAAAAAGATAAATAATGAGAGAGAAAATATTAATAATATCAGAATAATTATTTATTTTTAAAATAATTACATTTTTGACATGTTTACTAATATTATTAAAGTATGAATATTATCACTAAATAAGTTAATTTTTTTTACTAGTTAGCTAGATTATCCTATTCTAAATTACATCTATTTATCTTCCAACCATCTAATAAGGATCTAAAAAAACTTCTAAATACTACAATTTACAGTTTAGAAACTTTTCTAGAAATCCAAGGTCTTTTATAGTTTGAAACTATGTAACTATATTATGTCACAAACCCTAAAACTATATAAAAAAAAAATATGTCACATCTATACCACTTAACGCGAACGGAGATTTTATATAGGAAATATTGTGATTTAAAGTAGTAATACTAATACTCTATAACATAAGTATTTTTTCCGTCTCAATTTATGCAATATTTTTTATTTTTTGTCAGTAAAATTTAAGTTTAATAAAAAAATTATACATCGAATCATCAAAGTTTTTTGAATTAAATTTTATATGTTTGTAAATTACATAAAAATATTACAAGTGACAATAGTTTAAAAATTCAAAATGTTTAAAAGAATGTAAAATTCACAATCAAAGATATAATTGTTTAACTATCGAAATTAAAGAAATATTACGTAAATTAAAATGAAAGAAAGCATTAAACTAACAAATCATATATATATATATATATATATATATATATATATATATATATATATATATATATATATATATATATATATATTAAATCATTGTAATTGAGTTGACAAAATAGGATGTGAAAAGAATGAATTGCCATGAAATGAGCCAATGACCAAAACTTGTTCTATAAATGACCATCTACCCTTCCCAAATCCTCCCCTCCTCATTTCATATATATATATATATATATATATATTAAATCATTGTAATTGAGTTGACAAAATAGGATGTGAAAAGAATGAATTGCCATGAAATGAGCCAATGACCAAAACTTGTTCTATAAATGACCATCTACCCTTCCCAAATCCTCCCCTCCTCATTTCAAGGAAGTGTGCCAAACATTTAGATCCTTCTCACCCTAAAAAATAAAAAATAAACACAAGGAAACGGAAAGGATTTACATTAGAGAAAGGGATAATTATGGATCAACTACAGTTTGTGGTGGAAGCCTCTGAGGCTGACTCCATTACCCAAAAACTTGGCCTACCTTCTGTCCACCACCTCCTCCCTCTCTTGGTTCAACCCGCACAAACCCTTGCCCGCCCACCCATCTCCAACTACCACGTCGCTGCCGTTGGCCTTGGCTCCGACGGCCGTGTATTCCTCGGCGTTAACCTTGAATTTCCTGGATTACCCCTTCATCACTCTGTTCACGCTGAGCAGTTTCTCATCACTAACCTTGCTGTTCACCTCTGCCCCCGCCTCGTTGCATTTGCTGTCTCCGCCGCCCCTTGTGGCCACTGCCGACAGTTCCTTCAAGAACTCCGTAATTCTTCCGATCTCCAAATCCATATCACATCTCAACACCAAAACAATCCAGATGTCATATTCGAACCTTTGCGTGAGATTCTCCCTAATCCATTTGGTCCATTCGATCTCCTTGATGACGAAACTCCTTTACTCCTCGAGCGACATAACAACAATTTAATCCTGTCCTATGAGATTAATCACGTTGGAGATCTATGCAATGGGTTTTCAGATGACGATTTGAAATCGGGAAAAAATCTGAGTAATGGGTTTTATAAATTGACAGAAACAGAGAGTACCCTTTTAAGGATTGCAGCTTTAGGAGGTGCTAATAATTCACACGCACCTTACAGTGAGTGTCCATCAGGGGTAGCAATTATGGATTGTGATGGGAAGATCTATAAAGGTTCTTATGTGGAATCTGCTGCTTATAATCCAAGTTTAGGACCAATGCAGGCGGCGTTGGTGGCTTTTGTGGCTGAAGGAGGTGGTGGGTATGAGCGAATAGTGGCGGCGGCTTTGGTGGAAAAGGAAGGGGCAAAGGTAAGGCAAGAGGACACTGCTAGGATCTTTCTGAAATTGGTTTCTCCTAAATGTGACTTGAAGGTTTTCCACTGCTGTGTTGCTGCTGAAAATGGTTGTAAAAAGGATTGAAGATTTTAACCAATATTTGTTCATTCTGCAATTGCAAGTTGGCTTGTAAAAAATTATCCACTTTGATGAAATGAATAAAACATATTAATCCACCATTCTGTTAGCAACCATATAGTCAACCCTGATTTTTTATTATTTTTCTTTCGATATTTTTGAATTCAATTAAATTTGAATGAAGGTTTTGTAATTAGCTTGTTTGTCGTGCAACAAATAAAGGTGGCAAAATGAGCACCGCAGAATCAATAATTTTGGCATCCTTTTACCTTTCTGTCAATATGTCAACTACACCAAGTCACCAATGACATTCTAAAAGTTGGCATACTCCTTCCTTACCATCTTGATTAACATTATTTTATTAAACATCAAATAAAATCCCCTCAAACTTTGAAATCAGGCTGTACTTACTGTTCAAAAAGTGATCAATATATAATTAATATTTTTAATTTTTTTTAAGTTAAGATTTATAAAAAGTGTGAAATTTTTTATTTAATGTAAATGAAATTTGTGGATTCCATTTTTCTTTTAAGAAAATAGTGTTATAAATTCATTAAATGAGTGGATAGTCCATAAGGTTGGTACACGAACAATCATCCATATTCACTAGATTCATGAACCGTTTTGGATAAGAATGTATCTATTTATTATGATACTTAATATGGTGACTTTTGAAGTGATTTCTCACTCTATAAATAGGATTGTTCATTCACTATTGTATGATATATATAAGATTTACATATACTTGAATAAGAAGAAAATTCCTCTTATTCTATCTACTTCTCTTTATAATTGTATTCTTATAACTTGATTTTATAACACGTTATCAGCACGAGTTTCTAGCCAATTAAGATTGAGTTTTAGTTTTTCTTTAACTCGTGTTTTGATTGATCTCGTTATGAGAATCAAGATATTATATGCATAAAATCAGGTATGTATTTTCTAGAATATTTTTATGATTTAGAATAAAAATAGTATTCAGTTACTAACAATTATCAGGAACCGAAGACATATACTACTATTGGTTGAATATGACATGTTATACAAAATTCTTAAATAGAAGAAGGTATAAAATTTTAATAGCATGAATTTGAATGTTAGTTTGATTGTTTTGAAAGACTCAAAGGGTGAGTCATGTTGTACTTCGGTTTATTATACCGTTGGTTAAGCGTAAGATGCTGTATTCAAGTTTCATCTCACCAAAAGGGTAAGACATCAGGTTAAAGTCCGGATGCACCATAATGAAAAATCTTTGAGGATAAGACGATAGATTCAAGTTATATCGCACCAAAAAGATAAGACATCAATTTGAGTTTTGATGCACCGTGATTGAGTTCAAGTCCCATAGAATTATGGCGTAACACGCCTTATGTGGATAAGACATTGAGTTTGAGTCAATGCACCATAGTGCTGATATAATGATGACTAAGACTTTGATGAAAAGTCTTGAAATTCGTCCTATTGAATTTGCTCCATTCCTTGAAAAGAATGTGGTAGCAACATATGATAATTTTAAAATCGCATGTTCACTTGCTTCATTCTATCGTATGAATGTGGTAAAGTAAATAGTTAGTCTGAAAGATGACAAATGATTAACGATATGAAAAAAGGCATGAAGGGACGGAATTATAATAGTCATCATTGTGGTAATTATAAAAGGAAGAACACTATGGTTTCTCCAAATAGTCCTTCGAAATGTGAAGGCAGTTTTCATTGTCAAAATGGTATGAAGGTCATTAGACTTGTGAATGTTGTCAACCCAATAATTTGACAAGTTTATGAATCCTCTATCATGATATAAGAAGATAAAGTGATGGTACACTTGATCTTTCAAAGTGATGTTGAGGTGTGTCATGGAAATATGATGAATTTTAAAGCCATGACAATGTGCTTATAATGCAAATTTATGAAGTACATATAAATAATTAGTCCATTCTTCGAAGAGAATGTGACTTGTGATGAGTATCGTGAATGCTCGACCGTTCTATAAGAGAATGGGTCCAGATGTGATAAAATCATTATGGGTTGGATATATGCCACAACTCACCTCTATGGAAGGCTTGAAAAAAAATGATAGATGTCACTTCTCATCTCTACGGGAGATTTGAGAGGAAATAAATTTTATTTGGCAGAAATGGCTAATTGCATTGTACATTTTATTCGTCATTATGGTATGTTTATTGTGAACTACCGAAAGGACAAAAGAAAGATATAGTTCTTGCCTATAAGGGTTGTGGTCATTATTGTGTGACAATACAAATTTGTCATTGGTCTTGTACCTATGGTACAACAAAAGTAAAGCAAGAAATACGTCTTGCTCGTGATGATTTTGAGCATGACAATAATAATATAATTTCCTCCTTAAAGGAGATGCTCACCATATGGATTGTGTCATGCAATATGTGATATTACATATAATTAATTGCAGGCTCTAACGAGTTGTCCTATTATCAGAGGAATAATATTGGGCTTGTAGTAAGTCTCAAAAGAAACTTTTTAAGTTTCGGATGAATTGAAAATAAATATTGAGACTATAAATCACTACAACCGAAGAGGGTTATAAATGTTTATGTAAAAGATTACCCAACTTTTCCTCTTGTTTGTTCCATACAAACATGTACATGCTGATGAAATGACATGTAAAAGTAAATTATAAGTGTACTAAAATAAAGATCAGTTGACATGACTGGTTGACCATTCCGATTAAATATGATGCAAACGTGATTGAGAATTCAGGTGATTTATATGATGAAGAAATAAAGATTCTTCAAGAATTCTCTTGTGTTGCTTGTTCTCTTGATAAAATGATCATTGCACTAGCTAAGGTTGGGATTGTAATCGCCTAAAATTTTTGGAACATATAAAAGGGTGAATATGAGCCCGTTCACCTGTCAAGTGGATCATTTGAGACTATATGATTGATGCATCTATGCGATGGTCACATGTATTTTGTTGTCAACTTACAAATTGGTTTTTGTAAGGTTGTTTGCTCAAATTTTTAAAATTAAGAGCATAGTTCCAAACTATGAAATTATATTGATAATGCTGGTTGATTTTAGCAGAAATTGTATGCCTCCAATTATAGCTAAATCATGGTTATGAGAAAAAAACTCTCAAATAAGATTTGGTATGAGATAATTTTATTTAACATGTAGCAACACATGTATGCATCAAACCAACAAGGTTTCCCTATTAAAATTGGTTCAGGGTCAGGAACCATATAATTTCATCTAAATTGTTGAATGTGCGGTTATGATTTTAATTGCTCCACCACGCACAAAGATGAACTTCCAAATAAGGTTGGAATGAATTTTAGATTTTCTAAAATTAGGGGGAGAGATGATTGACAACTGAAAATTATGTGTGAGGTTAATTATGAATTATCTAGATCCTTGTTAAATAAATACATGAACTTAAAGTTCAAGGGATAATTCAGTTGCATAATGTTGCAAATCAGTTGCCAGATGAATGCACTGACCCTATGATATAATTCAGCTGCAAATGCTCCAATGTGAAGTCCTTGAAGGACAGAGTCTATGATACGCCGAAAGCGTAATAGACCAATCGATTCCAAATATAAAATTCCTTGAAGAAGGAGCAAATGATCAATATGTTCATGATAATGAGGCAAGTGCTATAAAGGAGAACATTGACATGACACTTCATAAAATCTTGAAAAAGGTTCAGGTACCTGAAATAATGAAAAATGAAGAGATCTCGATAAGTTATGTCTTGTTGGAATCAATATCAAATAACCGTCGACGGTATCTTTGATATGAGGTAGCGCTCAATGATATAAACTGTGATGAGGATCTTGAATTCAAATTTGTCATATAGTGTGGACAGATAAATGGTTGGCCAAGTAAAATGCACAATTCAAGTATATTTTGTTTCACTTAGAAAAGTGACATTTTGAACTGATAGTCCATAAATCAAGGTATAATGTCAGTGGGGTACAAATAAATTATTATGTGATAGTATAACCGTAAGATATAAAATACGGTTTGTGCCTTGGGGTATAAAGGTTTATCGCAAAAATCCTGACATTATTGGAGATGTTTTCTCCTTTGATGGATGCAATGAGGTTTGTTTTGATCTAGCAACATACGAAAAACTTGAATTCATGCAATGATTAATTGTAATGTCTAGCTAGACAATGAAGGTTATATAAAAATTCTTGAAACAATTGAGGTGTCTGAAGCATATAAGAGTTTGAATGAAACTTTTTCAATAAAGTTTCAAGAATCCTTATATCGATTGAAATAGTCAAGGAAGAAAAAGGGTACAAAAGAATGACGCTAATTGTCCTTGTATTTTTATGAAAAAGGTCTTGGTAAGACAAAATTTTGTATGGACCTACAGATTGATAATTTGACAAATGAACTATTTGTCTAACAGTGCACATACACTGAAATTTTGATGCAATTTTATATGGATAAATCGCATTCATTGAGTACCCCAATGATTATGAGATCACTTGACATAAATGATGATTCAGTTTGATCTCAAAAGAAGGATGAAGAGTTTCTTGGTGCTGAAACTCTATGTTGGTGCAATCAGCGCACTAGTGCATCTTACTAACAATATTTGACCAGATATTTATTTTGCAGTAAATTTACTGGCAAGATTCAGTTTCTCCCTGATAAAAGGATGTTGAAATGGTGTGGAGCACATGATTGAATATCCTCGAAGGACCATAGTTATGGGTTTATTCTATTCCGAGGAATCCAAGATAAAATTGATTGGTTACGCAGATGCAGAATATTTATCTGAGCCGCATAAAGCTCTATCTCAAGCAAGCTATGTGTTTGCATGTGGAGGCACAATAATATCCTGGCGATCAATGAAGCAAATGTTGTTATGCAGAAATAAAAGTCCTCCATGAAGCAAGTCGAAAGTGCGTCTGGTTGAAATAAATGACACATCATATTCAAGAAATGTGTGGTTTTTCTTTGAAAAAGAATATAGCAACCACAATGTACGAATATTGGAGACATCATCACAAGAAATTAAGTGATGTTTTAATCAGGGGGAGAATAATATGCGTTGCACTCTTTTTCCCTTGACCGAGGTTTTTTCCCACTGGGTTTTCCTGGCAAGGTTTTTAATGAGG